TAAAAATACAACTGTCAAAATCAAGCTGCAAAACATGCTCCGAGGAAAATTAAAACTAAAAGAAAGAACAAAAAGAAAGCGCCACACTTCTGAGTTCTCGCAGAGACAGAGAAGTAGGCCAAGAGCAAGAATTTCACGCTATAAAGATGCAATTTCATCTGATATGCACATAATATTACACAGAAAAGAATAACAATTCCTCTTCTATTTATACGCTAATGAATGAAAATATAATTTCCTCTACTTCTACCTATAACTTTATGAAACAGAGGAAGAAAATGTGAATGCTAAACAAAGCTCAATATTTAACACCATCCCTTGTTCTTGTAACTCGAATGTAGGCAGATACAGCTGCGAAAATAGCGGTGACAAGTCCACCAATGATAACACCACCACCAGCCATAGACTTATCTGATAAATGATGCTTTCCTAGCCGTCTGATCTCTGGTGCTTCAGCCTCTCTGGTATCATGAGATGACTCGGCAGGACTTGCAGCTGGCTCATCTGCTTCTCTAGGCACCACCCAACCTGGCACAACCTCATTATGAACCTTAACCTCAGATGGTTTCACCTCAGATCTATCACCCATTGCATGGATCATCAATAACTCCACCAAAACCAAAGAAACCAAAACAATCCTGCCCACACCCATGTTTTAGGATGAAGAAAATGTAGTAGTGAGCTGTTGATAAGTGTCTTTGGACTCCTTTTTCTTGAGAGAGCCAGAACAGTTTTCTACACACAAGCAGGGGATTTTGCTATGTTAACTTATGTGGGTTGCTGAAGCTATATATAAAGAAAGTGAATGGATGGTTGACAGTTTGGTGTGGTTTTGAAACAACTGTAACAAACAAAGAAATTCCAGATTTCGGGGTGTGGGTCCAGTTATTGTAAAAAAGTTGGGATTTAATTGATGGGAGGTGGAGTTTGGTATTATGGAGGAGAGAAAATAGTAGTAAAATGTTTGGGTTGGCTGTTGGGTTGCTGTATTTCACTTCAACCTAGGCAAGTGAAAGCGTGAGACTACAACTGGATTCTTTAAACAACTTGTTTATTGATTCAACTTTTGACTGTTGTGAAGATAGAGAGATATTTCCCTTTTGTATTTTTTCTCTTACTACAACTGGATTTCCTCAGGATCGCAACATTACTAGTAATAAATCCATGTCAAGCATTGTATTCCCACCGAGGCATTTGACTATGCCTATTCTTTTCTTTTAGTACTAGTATTTTTCTCTTGAAGAAGGCCGGGCTTTATATATCAGAGAAAAGTATCTTCTTACTTTATAAACTGTGAAAATTTTCATTATTTTTTTTTATGTAAAAATGAGTAATGGATTTTTATTAAATTATTTTATATTTTAATTAATTTTTATTCATTTTTTAAAAATTAAAACCTTAATAATGAATTATATTTGAAGTTAATTAATCATCTTCGCATAAAATAGTTAAAATCTCGTGAAAGGATCTTCCAGATTTGATACAGATATTGAACATTAGATCCGAGAATTGTTGGGTTTTGACTTTTGAGGCTGTTGTGTCTGTGGCCTAGCTGGGATTCGTCGTGTAGAGACCAAATAATAGCCCAGATTGGCGTCTTTCACCAGCCCTCTGTCTTTGGCTTTGACTTTGATATAGAGGTTGTAGTTTTTTTAAATTTAAAATTAATAGGAGTTAATATTTGTTTCTTTTATTTATTAAAAAAAATTGAACTAGGCTCTTCAAAATGCATAAATCAACTTACACGTAAAATTATTTTGCTGTAGAGGAAGTTAATTATTTTTTTAATATCTATTGACTGTATTTAAACATTGATCTCAATTAGTTAGTGGTGCATGATCCTCTACTCAAGAAAATTGATTAATGTAAGCATACGGTTGGCATTATAGATGGGAAAGCAGCAAATAGTAAATATATAAAATTACTTCAGCATTAAAACTACATTGAACACATACTTTCTTAAACAAATGCCCTTTAGAAGTATTCGTTGGTATATTTTATGCATAAAAACGGTTAAAATCGTTTTAACTTTAAACAATATAGAATCTAGGTTTTACAATACACAGCAAATTATTTTACAAAAGTCTAAACAAAATATAAAAAAAAAAATGCAAATTCCTCATTTCGAAGCTATCACCATGTATCATGCTCACAAAAAAATTTAGATTAAAGGGTTAAAAATGATAATTAAAAAATTATTTAAGTTTTTAATATTTTATTACAATCAATTGAATCTTTAAATTTTTATTTCGACTCAATTGAACCCTTAATTAGATAAAATTAAATTATGTGGTAAAATTGAATCAATTGAACTACAATCAATTGAATCCTTAAAGAAATTTTAAAGATAGAGAAATGGAAAGAAAATGAAAAAAAGAAAAAAAATTATTTTATTTAATTTTTACATACATTAATTGCATCATCTAACAAATTTTAATTTATTTTATTGATATCACGTAAAATTTTATCTTAATGGATAAAAAAATTAAAAAATTAAATTTTTTTCTCCAAATAAAGACTTAATTGAATGCAAATAACTATTAGAAAAGGTTGATTAATTGCAATAAAAAAAGGATTTAAATATTTTTTAATTATAATTTAAGGATATTTTATACCTTCCAAAAATTGACACCAAAATTAACTTCTCTATTTATTTAATTTTATAAATAAATATTACTGGACCTCCATCTTTGTTTTAGTTCTAATTCAAAATTTAACATATAATTTATTCGTACATGGGAAGCTAATTATTTAATGGAAGGCAGGGCAGGTTATGAAAAATATTTGCTTAGGCTTTGAGGATATGTAATTGAAGATGACATTCGAAAATTATGTTTAAAAGAATTTGTGCATCTAATATTTTTTAACGAAAAACTAAGCATTAGAGTCAGAATTTAAAAAAAAAAAAATTTTTGAGTAATTAAATTATTTTGTACGAAGAGTCTTGAAGTCTGTACTTAACAATATTGAAGATATCATGTCATATATTTAGGTTCCAACCACTTAGCTATACATAGAGTTTTGATACTTGAATATTATTAGACTTCATTTTTTTTCAAATCAACTTATCCTTACAATATATATATACATACATATATATATATATATATATATAGAGAGAGAGAGAGAGAGAGAGAGACATATACATAATAAATGTCTAAGGACACCATTTTCTTCTATTTCATTATTTGAACTTGAAGCCTATTTATCATACGTACATTTTCTTCATTGAAGCAGCCTTTTCTTTTCAGCTGCGGATGCACCGGCGGCGGTGCAGTTTTTTTCCCATATTATTCTTAGTATTTACGGTGAAATTTAAAAAGAGTATATATTTATGCAAGATTCATTTAAAATAAAATCTTGATTTTCGAGTTTATCTGAAAAAGGTTTTAGATTAAGAGCCGATTCTCGCAGCCAAGTATCCGGATGGTCTATTATTTAAGGATGGGTGTAACTGTTTTTAGAGTATTAATGGTTTAGAAATTGCTCCTTATCTAAAAAGAAAGAAGGCGATGACTGGGGAGTACATCTTTAAATTACATGTTTGGTCTGCACTCCAGCATAGTGCTTCACATGCTTAAGGATAGCAATGGTGCTGGGGACATGGACCCTCAATCCTATTTCAACTATGAAAATTTGATTACCAGTTAGATAGAAGAAGCCTATCAACAGTCAGAAGGCCCCTTCTCTGTTCTGTCCAATTTTGTGTTGGTGGGCGATTGCATCAGGATATTGTCTTTGGGGGCACATAAACTGAATTTCTGACTAAAATTTTGATGTCATACCCACGTTGCAAAAATGACTTTACCAGGTAAAATGGAAAAAGAAAAAAAGTGAACAAATAACGAAAAGGTGAGAACAAAATCACCAGTTGGTTCACCGTAAATCCCAAATGAACAAACCAAACCATTGAGCGGCCATGGGCTTCTGGGACTTGTTTTGTTGTCCATACAAAATGATCCAGTAAATCTAGCAATTCTCGAAACCTGAACCATCAAATCGAGGACTGGACCTGAAGTAAAATATTTTAAGCCTTCAGCCATGCACTCGTTGAGATTAAGAATAATGTCTTTTGAACTTTTATCATATTAAAATTAAAAATATGGAAGGAAAATGCCAAAAAACGAGGTAAAAAAAAATGACAAGTAAAAAAATCTTATGATGTTGGTCTATGTCTAAGCAAAATGCTCCATTTATTTATTGCTGATAATGATGCCGTGGACATGACATGGACCCTAAGCCTTGGCCAACAGACAAAACTTCTGGCTTACTATGGTTTACATGTTTTTCAGAAGACACTGGAAATAATTGAATAGCCTTGGGGCATGCTTATGCCGTTTTCTGGGCTTCTATTGATGCTATGGATGTTTCGTATTTCTGTGTTCAGTTTCACCTTTTGCCATTTGTACTCTAAATTATCTATTGTAATTCCACGCGTGCCCCCCAACCCCAAGCTGTAAAAATATAAACAATGAAAAATATTAGTAGGAAGAATTTGTATTACAAGGTCTAACATGATCATACAGAAAATGCAGTAATTTGTAGGGTAAAATTTTGACGAATCATCTTGATCATTTAAGTTGTAGCCCGAGCCCATAATCATTACTTAATCCATGTTTGTAGTGACCTCTCTCCACCGGTGACTTTTGAGTCTAGCGAGTGGTGATGTAAGCTTCGGCAAATGAGGTTTTCAAAGATCTTTAGATATTTCATATGTACATGCTACTGTAAATTAAGACTGTCATAGACTCTGTCTAGTATTGAAATCTAAAAGAACTTTTAGTTAAAAAAGTTCATTTTCACCGCAATCATAGCGTTAAACAGAGTGAAAATTCCAAGTTTTGCAGTAAAAAAAATATAATTTTGCAAACCTAACACAGATATGCGTATTTGCAGTTTAAAAGCACTTTTTTTAAAAAATAAAATTATATTTTTATCGTTAAACTTTTATTAATTTATATACATTTCAGTACATCAATAACGCTTTTTCACAATATCAACAATACGTTTCACAGTAATATTTAAAATTTTTTAATCACATTTTTTAACCGTACTTTTAAAGACATTTTACTTGCATTAAATTTTCTTAATTTTCTTAACCGCGAGAGCCACAACATCAATGCTAAGTTAGGACTTGAAGGAAACTTAAAAAACATTACAATCATAGGTATATCTCGATTCTCATCTTCCTATTTCATAGAAGAACAGCTTGATGGTCATGTATTACTCAAAGACGCTTCCCCATGCTCCTACTTGGTCTCAAATAGAGAAATGACAGATTCCATAACATAGGGGTCGGGGCCTTGTCGAATTGCTGTAGGAGAACCCACACAAGAGAACTCATTCCTATGACTCTTGTGAATAAGAGTCAAAGTATTTCTTATTGTAGATTCAAATATCAAGAAGTTTGACAGTGCTGGACAATCTGAACATTTTATGTATTCAGAGAAGAAAAATGTGTGGGCAAGTATCATGGCTCTCATGGTGCAATATTAATAATTTTGCTCTTAACAGGGAAATGAGAAAAACAAGGAATTGCCAAGAACAAAAGCAACTCAATGCCATTTAGAAGTCAAGTTATCTGCTGAAGAATATTCTATTTATGACATCAACAGGCAATGCATATGCTGGATCAATGGCTTTCAATCCTGGATACTCGAGAAGTGAAAGTCCTACAGCAATAACAAGCATGAACAGAGTTATGCATGCGAAATTCATAAAAATAATTAAAGCATAATCAGGGAATATGGCAGTAGATAAACAACAAAAGTACCATCAGAAAGAGCAGAATGTCAAGAGTTCACTACACAGTTCAACGGATCACCTTGACAAGAGGGGGAGGGGGAGAGGGGGAGGGGGGGTGGCCTGGAACCATCGTGCATGGTTATGTAGGATAACGTGCAATCCTAGATGCCCTCTACACCCACCCACCGTAACAAAAGAAAAATTCAACAAAAATACTGATAGATAGAAAAACATGCTGTTTTTTTTTTTTTTTTAATATGGAATGAGTTTCAAGTCTAAAATAGATTCCTACATGATCTGACAACCTCAACTATCATTAAAAAAAAAAAGAGAAAAAAGCAGCTGTTACATACCAGCAACTCCAAAATATGTATGGAAGACATCAACAGCATCATCTGGTCTATCTGAAATGCCACCATTTTCCACATCCTGACAGTTCAAGATGAACTTAACAAGCTTTTCTTTGTCAATCCAGTGAACTCTGTCAATCATGATCAAGCTAGTAAGAACCCACCACGAGTAGCAAACCTAAAAGGATTAAACAACATCACAGTGAGAAGAGGCTAGAAGAATATTACTATAGCGCACAAGGTTCTGTTTGAACTTCAAAAAAAATACCCACATCAGGAAGCTTCTCAGGGCGGCCATTAAGACCTCCAGATTTCACTTGCCGCTCACACAACCACCACCCAAGAAGGTCCTTATCAACATGATGCAGAGATCCCGTTATAGCAAGAGCACCCACACAACAGAAAACTGCAGTTATCATGCACGGAGTAAAATGAGACTCGCATTTCAACAAAGATTGTCATTCTTATTAGCAGTGCTTTAATTTAAGCTCATGGATAAATGAACCTAAACCTAAGAAATTAGCAATCCTCAACATGAATATGAAAGTAAGAATGTACACAGTCATATCGGCCATGGAATTAACATACTTTGCCCTGCATGAGACTCCCCACCAGGTGTGCATCCAAAGCCACCATCCAGGTTTTTGCAACTCAAAATATAGTTAACAGCTTTCTCAACATTGATTCTATCCAGACATCGTAATATTGAAAGGCAACAGATGGCAATATAAGAAAACCTAAACCAAGAAAATGAATTTGGTGAAAGAGGATTTACATCTAAAAATACTAAATCAGAAAACAAACTATATGCAGATATAACATAAGATCCAGGAAGAACATATACCGTGTATCCACCTCACCCCATATATCCCCTGAAAAGGATCCATCTTCATTTTGCAGCCCAGTAATATCTAACTTAGAGATATAAGTAAAACATGAAGAACCTGAAGGCAGTTTACATTTAAACAGCCAACCGTAATGAGTCAACTAAATAATGAACATCATAAATTATAGCTATGCAAATTGTTGTAAAACAACTCTAGAAACTGGATAATCATCATGGAACAATAGAAACTCTCCAGTGAAGAGCAAATAATTTCAATATATGAAAGGATACAAGTTGCAACCTTATCAATGTCAAGAACATCTAGCTTGTTGAAAAGGGCCAGCACTTGCACAGCGCTGACAGTATACAGTATATGTGGGTCATGCCCGATATTACCAGAAAAACCACCTGTATGAGAAAGTATCATCAAACTTCTTTAATATTATGATTCAATTAACTTAAATCTAGACTTTTCTTTTACTTACACTAATAATACTAACAATTAAACAATAAAAAACTAAGCTCTAAGATATACCAGATTCATGTTGGCATTTCATAATCCATGAAATAACTTCATCTGCATCAACAGTATCGAGCTTCCCCAGAAGATCCAAGGTTGTTAATCCCCAATATGCCCCATTCATTCTTAGATGGTCCATCACCACCGATTCAAAACTATCCTTTCTCTAACAATAACAAACCCCAAAATAATCAACTTCAGATAATCTCAATAAAACCTAGGACAAAAATTGAACCTAGGATAAAAATTGCGCTTGAAAATGTAAAACAAAAACTAAAAATCAATGAGTTCGAAACTTACCTTTTCAACAGATAAAATGTACTGAACATGTTTGTCAACCGCCAGCTCTCCCATCTGTCATCCATTTTCCACATCAATTTACACAATATTAAACAAAATTTAAAATCAAAACCCAATGAAGATGCAGTTAAAAGTTAACAAGCTTGTAAACAAAAAATCGAGAGAGTAGAAGGATCAACCTTTGATCTAATAGTAACAATTTTTATTACTATTACTCGATATGCTTGATGCCAAAATTGTTACCCATTTGTTAAGTAATAGTAATAAAAGAAAAAGTGAAATCAAACTTAATCCTAAACTTCATCCAGAATACAATTAATCTTTAAAAGTTTTTTATTCTTTTTTTTTTCCTAGAGAAAACCAAGGGAAAAATATTGAAAACAATAATCGAAGACTTCACTACCTGAAAAAAGCAATCTTGAGAGGAAGAAGATAAGAGAGTTAGTATGAGAGAGGAAGATGAGGGTGGCTCGATAGGAGGAGAGAGAGGAGGAAAAGAAAGAAGGAGATAGGGGAAGCCAAGGGTAGAAACGTCGACACTGCCCGTGATCGGAGAGGCAGGAAGTAAATGCGTGGAGTCAATAGAGAGAGGGGATGGGGCGGCTGGATGAGAGGGAATGAATTGAGGAAGAAGCAAACGAAAAGCTTCTACACATTTAGTTTTCAACCAAACGACACTGTTTGGCAATGCGAAAGTAACGAAAAAAATGAAAAAAAAAAATTGAAGGAAAGAGGAAAAGAGAAGTGGGCCAATAGCCGAATGATCCCAAGTTTTTTTGGGCCCAATCTAAATTCTTAAGTGAAGGCCCATTTTCTAAATAAAACAAGGCCTAGGAACAAAGCTCATCTAATTAAAATCGGTGTTTTTATTTGCAAGATATAGCTTTTAATTTTTTTTATTTCATTATTATTTATTTATTTATGCTGATAATTAAAATTAAGAAATTAAGAAAAAAATGTTATATCATAGATTCGTGGGAATTGAGAAACAAGGTTGCAACTTGCATTCTTTCATATATCCTTTCTTTCATTTTTTTTTTTATACTTTCTTTCAAATTAAAAATTAATAAATGAAATATACTATCTTTCTTATCCTTGCTTCTTCAAATGCCTATAAATGTCTAATTTTTTTTTTTAAACTTTTTGATAAAAATAGTATTTTACAAAAGTGAACAACTCAACATATAAATATTTCTTATCTATAATGTTTTATATAATATGTTTGATTATATTTTATATCAAGGGTTAAGTGACACCAACTTAATTAATTAAATTAAATTAAAACATAAATAAAATAATAATAATAATAATTTAAAATTAGAGTTAATTACGTGTTTTGTATTAAAAAAAAAAAACTACTCATCATACATCCAACATCACATTACTTCTTTTTTTTCAAATATATAATTTTTTCAACTGATATATTTTTTTCAAATATTTATACTATATATAAAATTAGCTTAACCATTTAAAGTTGTAATATTATCATTAATTTCTTTTGAAGTACCAAATTAATGTTTGGTATGAGATGATCACTCCAAAATTATGATGTTCTACACTTGGTGATTAAATCATTATGCTTAATAAGCACTCAATGATCCTATGTGATGCTAATATTTGATCGTCAAAAGTGATTACATCATTATTTTGAAAGATGATTTAATTCTTATAAAAAAATGATAGAAAAATTTTATCACTAAGGCAAATGATATGCAAAATTAGTAATAGTAAATTTACCCATTTAATATGTAAATTAAAAACTTGATGTATCTTAAAATTATAATTATTTTTATATTATAATTTTTTATATTTTTAAACTAAGATTCATGTTTTTTTTTTTTTTTTACTTTTATAGTATTTTATATATAATATAATTTTTTTGTTTTTCTTATATTATGAATTTAATATATTAATTTTATTTTCTAATTCCAATATTTTTTTACACAATCTATATTATAAAAATCAAATTACCTATCAATAAATATATTTATTAATTTAATTATATTTTATTATAAAATAAATAAATCTTACTAGTATTTTACAAATTATTATCTTTAAATAATATTAAAATTATTAATTTGTGTAATATTATAACATGCATGGTTATTTTCATAATTTTAAACAAAATAATATTTAATTTTTAGTAATATCAAACACAATAATTTTTAATTTTTAAATATTAATTATTGTTAATCAAATAAAATAATTTTAAATCACGAGTATTAAAATTACTTTGATAATAAAATCAATTTGGTAATTAATCACCTTCCTCATTCACATGAAAAGTTTATGGCGTAGGAAAACAAAATTAATCAATAAAATGTGAAAATGTGTACAAGGTAAACAACTTTCATAAATGGTCAAGAAGCATTCGATGAAAATTGAGAAAGAATCCATGGTCAAAACTTTGTTGATTCCAAAATAATATTTTCTTTTTTCATTTTTAGATGGTGATTAGTCCAGTCAACTACGTTGATAAACTGTTACACAACATTGAGAAAAGAAGTGCAGTACTCATCTCTGAAGATTTGCTATCCGTTGAACGACGTAGGATGTATTAAAAAAATGAATGCATGCATCGAAAGTTAAACAATAGTGGCGTTTAGCAAAATAGTTCCATTTATTGTTTAATAAACACATTCCATTATTATTACTTGTTTCCAAAGATCAGAAGGTGTTTTGACCGACACGATGTCTTAAGATCAATAATGACAAACTAAAATTCATGGCTGCATGTCCTTCACAGCTTCATGTTAGCAGTAATAATTGAGAGGAATATTACACAGCTGTGTCGGTCACTATTGTCGAAAATGCCATTGGTTGTTGTTGTTCTGCTCAGTCCCACATTGGATGTGTGGTTTTAATAGCATTGGCTGCTGTTGGACCTGCAAATATTCGCTCGAATATTTAACTACCAAGATAACCTCAGGCGCAGGTAATGTTTCATTTTCATACACTGAGGTTGAGCTACCTAAATTCCATGGCATTGGCACCTTGACTCCTTTTGTCGGTTCATTGTTTGAGTGGATACGGGGGGCTTGCTATGTATTATTTTATCACGCCTAATCATGTATTTCATTAAAAATGGCTTCAGGTTTCAGTTAAGTTGCAGCTGCAGCTTTTGTAATTAGCCATTTAAATGGTCATGTAATCTAAAATAAGGTAATAATCATAGATCACTCAAGATGTCACAAGCCATAATTTCTTTATGCTCTTTGCCTAATATTCTTTTTTAATGTTTTCCCGTTATCGGCGCCTTTAAATAGAGCCACCTATTTCTTTCATTTTTCTTTCCCAATCTTTGATAATCAAATGGAAAGCGAAACTATTTAATAAGCAGATGAAACCACAAATGCAGCTATATATGGCCAAAGAACAGATGGCCAAGCTTCAATAGTTCAAGTTCTACGAACGAAATTTCTGGGCTGTTACTTAGGGTAATTGAGTTTATCTGTTAGAAGATTAGTTTCCCAGTGAACTAATAATAATAAACCATATAGAATACTACACAAGCAAATAATCTCCAAAACTTAATCTAAGCCGACAGAATACTAAATTGTTGATTTCATCATGACTCCTTTTATCTTTTTCTTTGTGATGAGGGGTTCATGTACTCAAATTGAATGGTTCCCCAGGGGCAAGTCAAACTAAATTGACCTTTTTCAGAATCTGAGGAGTAATGTGGCTTTTTTGTTCTATTATTTGACGGATTCTTGACAAAGACAAAGTCATTGGCATTGAGTTACTGAGCTTAATGAGAAATAAGTGGAAAAAAAGGGCTTCTAAAACCAATTTTAAGGTAAGATACAGTCATTGCCAAGAATGTTTAACATAAAAATGCATAAAATTTTAAGTTTAGGAAGATTTAATGAAGGATGTTTGAAGACATTAGTACCACAAATGTTGTTTGATGAACATGCTCACTTTTTGGTAACCACACCAAAGCTACTATGAACAGTCAATTATTAGGTGTTGGAAAAGATTATTCCAATTGCTGTAACCAAAAACAAAAAAGATTATGCCAATTGCCAATTTGCCAGCTTGCATTATGACTTGCCTCAGTGTGAGAGCGACTGTGGAAAAGGACTCAACCTTGGAGACCTATCTTTCACACACCACGATATAGACAATTGAAGAAATACTGTTCATCTAAGGACACACAAGTTTTCTCTCTTTTTCTGTATCTATAGCTGTACACACCAAGACCTCGTTCTCTATCAAATGAAAACACCCTTAGTCATTTTATTATTAAGCATTTAATTTAAAATTAATTGATAATAAACGAAGAATCTCAATTTTAATATAAAATTATAGGATATTATATATTTATTATATATGAAATAACATCACAATAACAGGTCACATGTAGGCAAAGATGAAGGAAGCCTTTCGTGTGATAAATTTGAAAAAGGCACGTGACAAATTTGAAAAAAAACAACAGAAAAAAATCTTGATTTTGATACTTTGACTCCACCTTTAGCCCTGTTGTTAAGGCCACCACTATTCAAATTGTTCTCTTTATTATTGTTAGTAGAGGATGGTCCATCAGGTAATTAGATGTTGAAAATGCATTTTTACACAGCAAGTTGCATGAAGAAGTTTATAAAGCACAACCATCAGGGTTTATGAACTCTAATCATCCTCATCATGTTTGTAAATTACAACGCTTTCTTTATGGTCTTTGCCAAGCTCTACGACCTTGGTTTTAGAGATTTAGTTCTGCTTTTCATGCTTTTGGTTTCAAAAGCAATCAAGCAAATCCTTCTATGTTCAAATGGCATTCCTTATCTGACATGATGTTACTTTTACTTTATGTAGATGATATCATTCTCGTTGGTTTTTAATTAAGTGTTATTCATTCATTCATTTCACAACTTTTTTCGTAATTTTTAATGAAAAATCTTAGTGATCTTTATTATTTTCTTAGAATAGAGGCACATCATACACCTAAAAATTTATTGTTGACACAAACAAAATATGTGTTGTTTCTACTTTCACGTTTGGGTATGAAAAATTGCAACCTTCTTTTACTCCAATAACTGCTGGTAAAAAGCTTTCTTTATATGATAAAACTTTACTTTTAGACCCATCACAATATCACACCATTGTTGGAGCTTTGCAATATCTTACCTTTACTAGACCTGACATTACTTATGCTATGCAACAAGTCTGTTAATTTATCATGCATCTCATGATATTAACTTTCATATTGTGAAATAAATCTTGAAATATTTTAAAACAACTATCAATTGTGGTATTCGATTACTTTCTTGCATTATATTGAATCCGGTATGCTATGTTGATGTTGATTAGGCTGGTTGTTCAAACACAAGACATTCTACAATAGGTCACTATGTTTTCTTAGGTTTGAATCATGTTTCTTGGTGTATTAAAAAATAAGTTTCTATTGCTCAATCTAGTAATAAAATAGAGTATATGGCTTTTTCTATAGCTTCTCGAGATATATTTCAGATTTCTTATATATTGAATGAGGTTGGATTTCCTTTTGCACTACCTTGTTATGTATATTTTAATAATATGGGTGCTACTCAACTTGCTGCCAATCCAATCTATCATGCTCGCACAAAACATATAGAGACCTTTTTATCACTTTGTTTGATACCTTTTTTGCAAGCATTTTCTTCAAGTCCTTTTTATTCGTTCTTAATCACAACTAGTTGATTTATTT